TGATCTGGGTGCGTTCGGGTGCGCCCACTCGGTACGCAGGGAGTTTGATGGGTCGGGCTGCACCGGTGTCAATTTGGTGCTTAACAAGGTCGGTCCGACCCACGTCCGAGTCGTGTTCGCTGAACACGTCGGCATACTCCCGCAGTAACTCGCGCAGCCGATCGGCCTCTCCCCTAGGTAAATCCGCCCATGGTACATGTAACGCGTCGAGCAGGGGAACGACCTCGGCTCGGGGAGTCGGGCCGACTCGCCAGGCCAGGTCCTGCTCACCCTCAGGACGACCGGGGTCCTCAGCCCAGAGTGCGAACACCGAGTCGTTAGAGTGGCGTGTGTGCAGGGGGTGTACTGTGGCTATCGGGGTGCGCCGTCGCAGTATCGCTGGGGTATTGTGGGGGTTAAACATCCGTATAAACAATCGGTCCCTATCTGCGTGTACCAACGTGGCGGATCCCACAACCCCATACCGTTTTGCCAACTCCGGGTGAGGAGTTAGCATTACCTCCCCTGATGGTCAGAGCGCGGGGTCGGTGGGGGATGTTGCCACCGGCACCAGCATCTCGGTGAGCGGCCCGATGGTGACTGCCGTCGCCAGGATAGCGGCCACAGGTGCAAAGCGGAGGCGCGTTGGTTCTCGTCCCAGGAACGGTATCCGCTCGCCATTGCTCTCCATGGTGGCGCATCGCTGGCGGGGTTGCACGTTGAGTCCCAGCCGTTCTAGGAGGTCGGTACCTGCGATACACTCGTGACACAGCGCACTCGACACGTAGAACTCCTGGGTGCACACCTGGCTGCCTATGCGGACCTCTAGGGTGGCTCTCCCCAGCAGCCCCATTCCGGCTCCGCTCGCCGTGTGCAGCGCACGGTCCGGGGCCTGCAGGTGACGCACGTCGACCCCGATTGCGCTGCAGTGCGCTGCGCTCACGAGCGAGGCCACCGCCCCCGTGTCCAGCAGGATGCGGGTACGCACTCCGTTTACCTCCCCTTCCACCAGCGACGTGGCCCCCGTGATCCCCGCCACCAGCTCCCGCAGCCAGTCGCCAGGAGTCACCGTTTCTGTGGGCGTTGTTGCTGGAACCTGGGTGGAGATCCCTCGCTCGCCATTATTCTCACAGCTTGTTTGTGTCGGGGCTACGTCGATTTCACCCCCCGGTGTTCCCCTCTCTAGGGGGGCCTTAGTGTTCGACCTTAGCTCTTGTCTAGCTCGGGCGACCTGAGGACAGTCCCTCCTGAGATGCCCTCGCCGATCGCACACATAACACGTCAGGGGAGGGGTGGCGGCTCCGTAGTGGGTCCCCTGCCCGCTCCCTCTCCCTGTACGCAGTTGTTCCAACTCGGACTCTAATTGGGATATTTTCCCGGTCAGCCCCCCTACTGTGGAGTGTAGTTCCCCCATCTCAGACTGTAAGGCTTTCACATTTTTATTCGCTTCCTCGCGTACCTGGGTTACCCTCTCACCTACGTGGGTTACCGTCTCTCCTACTTGGGTTACCTTACCGTCCATTCGGTCTACTCGGCCAGCAATATCTCCCATGCCGGTCTGTAACCCAGCTACCCAACCCGGGGTTGTCTCGCGGGGTTTCTGGGCCTCTCTTGCCCGTCTCCCTATGGGGCTGGCGGGCTCATCCTCATCCTCCTCCTCGTCAGGGATCAGGCTCGCCACGGTGTACTCCTGTCCCGACCCTCGGAGCTGCGCGCGTTCGCTGGAGAGCTCCTCACACTCCAGCGCTTGCTCGACTAGGTTATCGAAAGGGAGGCCTGCGCTACTCTTTTTGGGCTGCCACCACGCGGTGCGAGCTAGGTACCTGAGTAGCTTGTCTGCAGCTAGTGCGTCAATGACCTCCTTCGAGAACTCTGGACGGGCGATCCGGGTTAGTGATCGCACGTCCTCAGCGTAGTCTCGGAAGTCCTCGCCAGTTTGGCGTCGGCGCGCCTCTAAGGCGGTCTTCGCCCGTATCGCGTTGCGCGTGCCGAACCGCAGGTCTAATCTACGCATTAGTTATTTTAGTTGGGTTTGCGCGCTTTCGGGTAGTGCCTCTACAAAGTCGGCTGCCCGCCCATCTAAGTTTAACGTAAGATGTCGCAACGCCTGCGCGTCCGACCAGCCATTAAGCTCTTTAGCCCCTATGATATTACGGGAAAACGCTTTCCATGTAGGGGTCCCCTGGCCGGTGAACACATGCCTTACCTTTGCGTGGAGTAGCGCGCCACCTTCCCGTGAAGATGTGAGGGTTCGTACGACTTCTGACACCAATATGTGGGGGCCGTCGGCCCCCGGGGTCCCTCCCGCCTGCATCCCCTATTCCGTTTACGTTACCCCACCTCCCTATTACCCGCTACAGTTTCGCCGGCATTCGAACGCGACGCCCCTACTGTTACAGCCTCGCGCCGCGCTCCCACGCTGCGAGCAAACGTGCGCACAGCATCATCAATCGAACGCCACACTCCCCCTCTTTACACCGCTATGTACAGCTCTCGCACACTGCGAGCGTGCGCCCGTCTATAGCCCTGTGAGGCACGTTACCAATGCGCATCCGTATCCAACACGTAACGAACGTATGCGCACTCCCACACACACGCCGCTCCGCGCACTCCAACTCAACTCACGTTATGATCGCGCACCTGTATCACACACGGGGTGAACACACGCGACACCCACTCTCGCGCCGCTCTGCGCAGCGCTCCCCCGAGGCGAGCCGCAGCACTACACTCACCCCTGACTACTCACGTTATGATCGCGCACCTGTATCGCACCCGGGGTGGACGCACGCACACACACGCAGCTCCCCACGCGACACTCTGCACGACAAGATCACGCGAGACCACGCTTCGCTATTAATGATTTATTATCTGCTTCCTGGTAATTAATGTTAAATCAGTGAGTCGACGAGGCTGGCCTATCCCACTAAACCTGTACCTATTCCCTATCCATCGGCTATTATCCTACTTCACCTCCCCACTCACCGTCAAGTGTCCACGGCGGTCCGCTGATCCTTGTGCTAACAGCGTACCTCGGTGCGTCGCACGGACGTCCGGGTCGCTGGCTGGAGCTGCGTCTGGTTCCCTGGCGCTGGAGAGAAGAGCGCCATTTCCCCTCTCCGCCCCTCTATTTATCCTCCCTACCTCAAAAGGGGATGCTGCGCTGAACAATGGGCTCGCGCACCCCGAGTCCGCGCACGGCAGTTCCCGGGCGCTGTTGATATGCTAATCAGTGAGCGACGTTGGCGGCGTACATCCTAATTAACCCCTTACCCTCCCTAACAATGGGGCCTGCGCGCTCAAGCGCAATTATCCCAACCCTCCATGACTATGCGCAACAGCCCCTGTGATCCCGCTATTCATGCTGTCCCGTGCCTCCCCTGCTTGCCCCGTCGACTCGTGGGGGTGTGTGTGGGGGGAAATGCGCCTCAACCGCGGTGGCCGAATGCCCCACGCCGCGACCACACCATATTAAGGCCGGCCGCAGCGCCGCGGTGCCACGTAGCACGGGGGAGGTCATCCAATTCCCTGATCGCCGGAAACCGTGAGAATTAATCCCGATAAGGGTCTCTCGGATAAAAACCGGTCGGCCAGGCGACCTTCCCTCGGAGCTCTATGGGGGGGGGAAATGAGTGCGGGTGTGTTCATGTGAGGTGAGGTGAGGGGGACGCGGGGTCGGCTCCGTTGCTTGGTGGTGGCAAGGTCGGGGATTTGGGCGCCTGCCGAACGGCTTCGTGGCGGCGGCATCACACCTGTCGGATTTGAACCTTGAACCTCTGTAATAAATAGAGAATGTGCTACCACGTGGCTTCCCTTAATCTGAGTGTAGGCATGACAGCTTGAATGTTTCGAACCGGAGCAGATGTTCAATTTAGAGGGGTCCACGTTTCACATGCCTACAGAAGGGAGGCCATTACTGTGGCCGAGAAGAACCGAAGCTTCATGCGGAGCGACAGACCAGGTAGCTTCCACACAGCATAGTGCAACCGGTGAAATGATAATGCCGCCCGACTGATCCGGACCACCCACACAGTGTACACACACAGTGTACCCGCACAGTATACAAACAGCCTGTACACACAGTAACAAAAACAACAACCGCCATTCGTCACTAAGTGCTAATGAGCCCGGTACATTATCATAATTTATTCATATTCTTGGTTCTTTCGGTAAAGTCACTTAGAAGGGAAATAATAAAATAATACAAGTAACATTCTCGACGTTTCGGCCACAACACAAGCAGCCGTCCTCAGGTGAAGAAGAGAGCTGTCGGAAATAACAGCGTCTCAATGAACGCTGCTAAGCTTGGCAGCCTCTTTCCAGCTGGGTGAGAGGAGCAGAGCGCCTTGACAAAGCAGTTTTGGTAGTCATATAGTGTAGTGGATACCCAGTTACTTAATGTTAATAGCTCAGCTTATTGGATAGTATATTGAGTACATTGATTATATTGATGTAGTTTATATTTAGTTGTTTTCACGTCGGCTTATTGTATGGTAGTCGGGTAGTTGCAGTTCTTTAGCGTTACTATGCTAAATTCCTCTTGATATGTAAACTCCTTTGTCAAGGCACTCTGCTCCTCCCACCCAGGTGAAAAGACGGTGCCAAGCTTAGCAGCGTTCATTGAGACGCTGTTTTTCCGACAGCTCTCTTCTTCATCTGAGGACGGCTGCTTGTGTTGTGGCCGAAACGTCGAGAATTTAGTATTTATTATTTTATTTTTCCCCTTTTACGTGATTTTACCGAAAGAACCAAGAATATGAATCCCTGCAGTAACGAAAGCTTTAAATCGAAATATAATTTATTCAGTTACACTGCTGCTCGCTCGGGGAGGGGATTGTGTGAACCTCGCAAGTGACGTCATGTCACCTGCTGCCGCATGACGTCACGACATACCAGGAAGCTTCTGCTCCGCGCACGGTCGCGCACGGAGATCCGTTGTGAGAAGTTTACATCGTGGTGGTTGTTGTGGTTGTTTTTGTTGTGAACCCAGGTAGAGCCTGGCTCCTTCTCTCTCTCGTAGGGATATCAATTGAGTAGCAGCGAGTATGGAATCGATGTCCAGGATGAAACATTACAACGCGGGGCCTAGCCATGCGGGGCCTTGCCTCCTGCCCTCGTCTGATTGCATTTACTTTAATTCTCAGCTTAAGTTGAATTTGTCTTCAACTGGCTCACTACTTTGAAACTTTTTTTTACTTTAAATATTTCTATGTTTTTTTTATTTCACCAGGCATAGCCCACTTGAGCTACACCGCTCTTTTTCAGAAGCGACCTGCCCACAACGCAGTGGGCTTTTCAACGTGTGGAAATGTTTATCGGTCAAATACTCTAAACGCGTGGTGATGTTGACTCTAAATGTGCAGGGAAAACCGCAGGATCCGGAGGAAAATCCACGCGACCACGGAGAGAGGACACGCAAACTCCAAATATACAGCCATAATACATCGCATAAATGAATAAATATGCCGTTAACCCCGCCACCACCCGACACAGCCAATTAGTCAGGGTTTATCACGTAAACAGAACGTGGCCAATGCGTCACTAGTACAACACTAGTGTGTAGTGTAGTGTATAGTGGAGTGTATAGTAGTGTGTGTACTAGTACAGCATATCGGTGTGTTGGAGAGCCAAGCCACAACAATTACAATCTGAGTACAACGTTTTGACAGTAATTACAACCAGCTTCATCAGACAGCCAAATGTTGCGGCTTGGCTCTGTGGGAATATAAATCGGCTCACTGGGTTCATAGTGCAGCACGCTAACCGTTGCACTACCGCTCCCCACTCACGCACACACTTTATCGGAAGTATAGTATCTAGTAATAACTAAGTTTCCCGGCTTAGCTCAGGTCTCAGTAATCAAACATTAAGAGTAATGTCTTGCCATGCTGGCTTTATTACAATTATTGAATTCTGCAAATGAAGTCTGTAAATGTGCGTATATTGTCACGGTTTTGTGGTTGTGTTATACATTAGCACGGCTTGTTTGTTTCATAATGAGGACAGCTTTTAAATACGTTACCCTTGGAGAGCTTCAGGATAGACAATGTTGGATGTTTTGCCATCTGGTAGTGTTGGCACAATTTGGTTCCCAAAAAAGTTAACATGCACAAAGTTTGCTTCATATAGATTTTCCCATGTTTTGTCTTGGAAGTGTTTTTGTGTATGGTTTCTCAATGGTAATTTCAATTGTTTAGTTTTTTTTATTTTCCTTTTACCTCATGCCATTATTTAGGTAAGGCTTAAGTATTGAATATCGCACTTTTGGCTTTGCGAGGCACTTTCCCAGATCGTAACCTCTGATATTCAAGGGGCTGAGGAGTGCCGATTTTCAGCAAAAACTAGATCTCTGCTTTATAGATGTAATTAAGGCATATAGTACCATATAGAGGCTTGGGGCTTTGGGTTCTTTGTTTTTTACGTCTCTGCCTCTGTTCACATTCTTTGATGATTTTTATGATTTTGGGAAAGCCCGTCTCGAGTTGTGTGACCAGGAGTCTGAGTCATTTCCTGTTCAACTTGGCTTGTGACAGAAATTCACTTTGGCCCCATGCATTACATTACAGAGCATCTTCATATAATTGTCGTTTGAGAAGCTCTCAATGGCTCTAGAAATAAATAGCATTTGTTACGGTTAAAATTATAAGCGCATCGATGCTTGGTTATAGTTAAGGGATCGTTCCCTGGTCAACCATGTTATATCTGCTGATGATCTGGTAATGGCTGCTCAATGAGATGGGGTTGGAGAATCTTGTTCTGTGGCTGGATAATTCCATCATGAAATGGGGCCTTTCGTATGTTCCACAAAATAAATCACCTGCCTGGGAATTTGATTTCATACAACACTTTTTCCTGCTCAACTCTCCATGAGTAATCAGACAGTTCTACAAGTGGTGGAGGAGCTCCCATACCTGGTTAATGTGTTTTCACGACCAGCTTTGGTTTGGCAGCCAAAGTCTCACTTAAAATTAGTCGAGCAGCATTCTTTCATTAGACTGTACTGTGTAACACTGTGTGGAAGCTGCCTGGACTTTTGCACCATACAAAGCTGTGAGTGTCCATCATCAAGGTCTAGTCTGTCTGAGACCATCCCTCTCCCTGCCATACTGGCATCGCACCTGCCTCTCACTCTTCGTACTGTGGATGGTGGGCGCACAGGACGGTGCCATGTAGCCATTCCAGGCTGGGTCCAAATGGGTTACGTGGGTCACCAAGCCACCAGGCCTCATTCCACGAGTGATATCAATATACAATATATGTAACGAGGCCCCCCAATAGACTGCCCCTGGAACTGTATCGGGCACCTCTCACTGAGGGAAGTCCCCGGGGCCCGGGCCAGGACATTCTGGTGGGATTGTCTCTTGGCTGGCTTTGGAACGCCTGGGAATTCCCCAGGAAGATCCAGAGTCTGTCACCAGGGAAACGAAGGTCTGGAGTGCCCTACTGAATGTGCTGCCGCCACAACGCTCACCAAGACAAGAGGATTTAGAAATAAACGAACGAACAAAGCTGTGAGTCTTCTTGGCCACAGATATTACTCCTTTCTCTGTGGATGCAAAATATTAACTTACTTAAAGGACTGTCTGTTCTGGCTTATAATTAAGACTGGCCAGCCTATGATCCCCTCTTTTGAACCAAAGAAGATTGTATTAGAACCTTACAGATCCCTAAAATATCAGTACAGAACATAATCAGCGAGTTTCTTTGGCAGGCCAAGCTGCATTGGTTGGGTCATGAATCCCGCATAAACAGACAGCATGCTCAAGCATCTTCTGTTAGTCCAGGTGTTACGAGCTAAACACACATGGCATTGGCTTGAAAAGAGATTGGAGGATGTGGAGGTGATCAGACCTGCTGATGACTGGTACCAGGAGTGTCATGATCGGCCTCTGTGGAGGAGGCCCGTGATATATGCTGCAGGGCAGTTGGAGATATTTGCTCTGCAACAACAGTGAGGTCGGAGGAGCAATGCTCACTTGAATGGGTGGAACGCTGGGTGCCTAAAATGCAGCAAGACAGGGGGAAGCACAGCTGGTGCATCTGTCAATCATCTCAGTCATTCATCCCTTGACACCTGGATCATTGCCATTACCTGCTGACAAGTGATCCACACTTACATGGCATTCATGTGAAATGTATGTGTTGTGAGTTCAACTGAGTCGCAGACGCACACTTGGAGGCAACACATTTATTTAACACCAACACACGGTGTTACTGCCCCTTAGCAGAATAACAACCTGTGGTGGTAACCACCAGGCTAACTGCACTAATTACAACGTAACGAGCTACGGACCGGGACCACGGCTCGGGTCCAGTTCCACGTGTTGTAGACTTGGTGGAACTTAGACGAAGGTTTTTTCAGGTTGAACAACAACGCCGGTCCCTCTGGGGGACCCGGCTTATATTCTCTGCGGTGTGGCTGGCTCCGCCCTTGGCCACGACCACCTTCCAGAATCCTCGAGCAGGATCTGGACCCCGACCACGTGACCACCCCGAGCGCCCACTTTGGGCCCCTTTGTGCCCTCTCGGGTCAACCAGAGTGCCATCGCCTGTCGTAACCTCATTCCTACAACCGGCACTCCCACACCCTATCCTGTAGGGCCAGCACTGCATGCCAAGCGTGGTGCCATCCTGCGCTATCAGTCAGCGCTCACCGATCCCCTCTAGGGCCGGTACTACACCCACCATCGTGGTATCCGCGATGTCGTTACACCGCACGCCATATTTCTCTAGGGCCGGCACTACACAGTGACATCCCGCGATGTCACTACATCTGTAAGAGTTTATTTATGTGGGGAGCGGTGGCGCAGTTATTACACTGTGTAACAAAAAAACATTTTGTTCCTGTATTATGAAATCAATAATTAGAGTTTGATTATCTCCGACAACAAACGTAATTGATAAGTTAAAACGTAACTTCTTGTGGGTCTCGGCTATGTTGATTTATCCTCCATTGGTGAAGTGAGTGAAGCATTAATACTGAGCAGATTAAGGTGGCCAGGCATGGTTCTGGACACACCACCATCTTTTTACCATGCCAGTGTGTGACAGTGTAAAGTATATTAACTCTTTTGAACACGGAGGTTAAATCAAAATAATAGTTTATTTTTGTTTTCCCCTGGAACTTTTTATAAGAATGGAAACAGGAAATTAACACGGCACATATGCAGCTGAAATCTGAGCCTGGCTTCACACCTCTAAGTTGCGATTGAACATTAATTTATGCTTTTCTGCATAATTCAAACAGTATTATTTTCAACACTCTTTGCTTTGTTAGCCGAATTTAGCTTTCATAAATATTCATTTTCTAGCCAGACAACCGAAATTGTGTGCTTGGAGTTTTGGGTTAACATTCATTTTGAAGATACTCGGGCTTCCAGGCATATTTATGACCATTTGCCCTCTCAGTGTTTGTCATAACAGCCCGTGTGATGAATTTGCTAATATTTTTCACTATATCATGAACATATGAATAAGTATAGACGTGTCAGTCATGTGTAACTGTGTATATATGTATTCCTCTGTGCCTCGATACTTACGTAGATGGTGTGGATATTCTCTTTTTTCTGTCTGCAGCTGACGCTTCCTCTGCAGAATTGGTCTGATGGAGCAAAGGCGCTCAGCGCAGCGCGGTACAAAAAGGCAACAATGCGACCAGTGTGCATACAGCACGGATCGTCCTGGCTATTTGACACAGCACCAGAGAACTCACACAGGAGAGAAAATCGTTAGGTGCACTGTGTGACAAGTCATTTGCATGGTCAGCAAGTCTTAAAAAACATCAGAGAATACACACAGGAGAGAAACCCTTCAAGTGCAGTGTGTGTGGGAAGGCGTTTTCACAGTCATATAATCTTGTATCACACCAGAGAACACACACGGTAGAGAAACCCTTCAGGTGCACTTTGTGCGGGAAGGCATTTGCAGACTTATCAAATGTTAAACAACACCAGAGAACACACACGGAAGAGAAACCTTTCAAGTGCACTGTCTGTGAGAAGGCATTTTCATGTCCATCAGGTCTTAATTGCCACCAGAGAACACACACGGGAGAGAAACCCTTCAGGTGCACTCTGTGCGGGAAGGCGTTTGCACAGTCATCAAATCTTAAAAGACACCTGAGGACATACAATCATCAGAAGATCCCCAAGGAGTGGAGTCTGAAATCGGCTTGTGAAAGTCAAAGTGCTGCAATCAGCCCATCCCTCATGAAACCAGAACTAAATCCCAGCTTGGACACTTTTAAAGGTATCAAGGTGAAATGTGAAGAAGTGATGAGCAAAGAAATGAAATGTGAAGTGATGGTGAAGAGCGAAAAAGTGATGGTAAACTGTGAAGATGAAGAGTCAACTCCGAAATTGGACCTTCACATCGAGGGTGGCAACGTGAAGCAGGAGGAGATTTCTGACTGTGAGGCAGAGGGAGGCAACTCCCAGCAGTTTGTGGAAGTGGAGGTGTGGGTGGACTTCTTAGACAATACAAAGTCAAATGGAGACCCGGTAGATGTGTAAGCTTGGGACAATGAAGCTCCAATAGATTCACCTTTGTCACAGGCCTTTAATGAAAAGAACGTGAAGTCGAACACTCAATTCCTGGGTTTAACTTGCAGAGTAAGAGCGACCAGTATTTGTGGACCTGTGGGTTGGGTAGATGATTAACCATGAGCAAGAGCCAATAAGCTCCCAAGTGTTGTATATATTAGGTCTTGAAAAATAATGAAAATTTAATGAAAACTGAAAATGCGTAATGTTTCGAAATTATGCTAATTATGTATTTATGCTCTATCTTGGGGTATTACCAATCGTGATAATATTATGAAGGTGTAATTGTGTAATAAACGTCGTGGAAGCGACTTCTGGAATCCGGTCTTTATTTGTCTTTCATTCACAACACTCCTATCTTACTCCTTCACGCTGCTGACAGCGTGAGAGAGAGACACTTGCAGCCACGTGGCAGCCTGGACCCCGCTCCAGCGTGGCCTCACCCTCCGTTCCAGATCTGACCACGTGTTGTCTGTCTCCACCCCTTTTAATACCCGGGTCACGTGGTACCTTTTCACCAATCCTGGTTAACCTCTATGGAATCTTCTCGACTCCATCGTACGTTCCCAGGACCGCGCCCCTGACTTGTCCCCCCATTGGCTGTGGCTAAAGCCAGCAGATCCAATCCTCTTCTTACAGATGTCACCTTCCCATTACGTCAGGGCCACGCCCTTAGACTTCCCCCCATTGGCTATGGGCCAGGACCGGTCGAGCCAATCATCATAACGAGGTGTGATCCATCAGCAACCCGGATATATCCTCACATTACATCACCCCCCCCCCGCCCCCCCCCCCCCCCCGTGTAAAAAGTCAGCCGTCTCGGATGGGAAATGAGTGACAGCCCGAATCCCTTTGAATAACATCTTAGGGCGTCCATGATGCATTAACAAGGTAAGGGGAATAGGCGCCAACGCGCAGAGGAATTAAAACAACCGACATACATTAGGGGGCGCCCCTGTTGCGCAGTAACACCGGGGCGACAGACCGCAAGGACAACAGTATTAGCAAATTGGGAGAGACTTCGACCGCGTACGCGACGCCGGACCCTCTCTTCCCCTCGCGCATGGTTGCCTCGCCGACTGTTCAGCAGGTGGTGGTTGCAGTGGAGAAGAAGAATTTTCGGTTTCTGTTGTGTCTGGGACAGGCCCCGTTGGAGGTGGAACGTCCGAGGTCTCGTCGTCCTTCAAAACCTGTGTGTTTGCGGGGGGTAGAACACAGCCCCGCTGGAGATCAATTGGCGAGACAAGTGGCACATTTGGCACGCCAGACCCCGGCAGGTCCACAAGTAGGGATGAAGGGCCAGCACGCGGGTCAACATAGGGCTTGAGCCGCGACGAATGAACATACCAACGACGTTGGCCGTACTGGATGCGAACACTGGGGATTCCGAATGTCCACCAGCCTCACAGGCCCCCGCCAAGGCCTGTGCAGTTTAGGGGACGTACCCACTGGCACCTGAGGGCAATGGAGCCATGCCATATCGCCCACCGACCAAGGCATGTCAGTTCGCGATTGACACGCACACACATCTCGTTCCTTGCCTGCGTATGGGCCGTCGCACATCTGGCGGCCTCTCGCGCCTCCGTAACCCGTTTAAGCGAGTCCCGCACGTGGTCAGGCAAGGAAGGGGACGGTTGTTTCCCCACTGCACCAAGTTGCACATCAATCGGTGGTACATTCTCACGGCCATACATCAGGAAAAATGGCGAATATCCTGTGGACGTGTGCGGAACCATGCGGTATGCCACCAGGATGCCCGGTATGTGCAAGTCCCAATCGGTTTGTTTTTCACTCACTGTGTGGCAAAACATGGCCGAAAGGGTGCGGTTAAATCGTTCCACCATGCCATCCGTTTGCGGATGGTAAGGGGAAGTGTGGATTTTCTTTGTACCCAAGGCAGAGCACACGCCTTTGAGCAATTCAGATGAGAAGTTACGTCCTTGTTCTGTGAGCAGCCCTTCAGGTGCTCCCTTATCCATGACGTACCCATTCAAGAAAGCCTCGGTGATGGATGAGGCCGTTTGGTCAGGTAGAGGCCAGGCCATAGGCCAGCGAGAAAAGTATTCGACCCCGACAAAAAGGTATTTATTTCCCCTAGTCGATGGAGGGAACGGACCCAGGATATCCAGAGCAACCAGCTCATTAATACGGGACACCTCGATCGATCGTAGGGGCGGGACATAATTTTGACGTGGTGGTTTCCGCTTCGCACAATCATGGCCAAAAGAAATCCTGCTGCATCGCGGCCAATGTTTTCTGCACGCCAAGGTGCATCAGCTTGTCGGCGTGCAGCGCGCGGATCAGATCGTGGCGAAGGGACGTCGGCACAACCAGGAGTGAACGGACCGACAACCCATCCGTACACATTAGTAATCCCGCCTGGCCCCAAAACAACTGCCATTTCCATCCTGCCAAATGAGATCTAGGTTTCCCGACCAATTCCCGCAGTGGAGCCAAAGAGGCGTCAGCCTCTTGCTCGCGTAGCCACACCGAGTGCGGAAAATGCAGCGTATTGTCCGTGCCAAAGGGGTACATCCTGGCCTTCATCCTTTGACATCGCCCCCATGACCGGACAGGGCGGGGTAGGCAGCGCCGAACAGCGGTGCGTACCCATCAGACAGGCGCAGGGAGGAGTCGCGGAAAACCTAGAGAGAGCGTTCGCGTTGCCATGGCAAGTACCCTTGCGGTACGTGATATTGAAGGAAAACTCCTGCAGCGATTCTAACCACCGAGCCAATTGACCGGACGGTTGTTCCAATTTCAAAGAATATTGCAAGGCAGCATGGTCAGTGCGCACGAGGAATTTCCTTCCATACAGGTACGGCCGGTACTGGCGAACAAAATGGGCGATTACCAGCAATTCCCATCGCGTCACGCAATAGCGCGTCTCGGCAGGAGACAACCCTGCTGCCGTATGCCACCACTCGCTCGACCCCGTCTTTCCGTTGCGACAAAACGGCCCCTATGCCGATGTCGTTAGCATCCGTGTCAAGGATGAATGGCTGGGAAAAGTCTGGGTAGTCGAGTGTCGGAGCGGTGGCCAGGCGATCCCGGAGAGATTGAAAAAAGCACTCCTCTCCCGGGCCCCATTAAAATCTATGATTCTTCTTTGGTTCTTTCGGTAAAGTCACGTATAAAGATAAAATAATAAATTAAATTACATACTAGCATACGACGTTTCGATTGCAACACAAGCAATCATCATCAGGTATAAATTAAATAGAAAACACAAATCTAGTATACTTAGAAATGTAATGTAATACAACAGAGAGTCGGATAACATAACAGTCAACACCCTATCTGGTTGATTACGTTCTTCCTGAGAATGCTAAATTTGAGAGATAGATTAAACACAGAACCAGCAACATAGACAGACATATAAGCAGACAGATATCACAGAGATACATAGAGAGAGAGCAAACATAGGCACAAAGAGAAACTAAGCCTCTGTGTCGAGGCCTTAAATAGAGAAATGGGGGGCGGGGGTGGGGAGAGAGGGAGGGGTTAGAGAAATTAGCATGTCCATGAGTGGAAACGGTGAGTGGCAAGGTGTAAAAAGCTTGAGAGTGTGACATCGACCCAGGTGACCCACAATTCCCTTCAGGAGTGCAAACATGGGTGCGAGTGGATGTGTGATGTGTCAAGACCTGCCGGGTGTGCGATATGTACCAACTTGCCCGAGGGTGCCGTGGATCTGTGTCCGGTGGAGGAGATGGAAGTCGGCCCGACGGGAGCTGAGGAGGTTGAAGTCGCAGCGGCAATCCCGGGCGAAATGGCCTCGTCGGCCACACTTAAAACATGTGGCTGCCGCCGCCCGGCGATCGGTCCCCGCTCGTGGACGTCCGGCCCTGTCACGCTGCTCGCGCGGCCAGCGTTTCGGGACCCAGCGAGGAACAGCTGCCATCACCTCGTCGTCGTTGGAGTCGTTGGAGCCGTGGACGACACGACGTGGAGCCCATCCCAACAGTGGCCCGTATATCTCAGGATCTCTCGTCCATGCAGCCATCTGGTCCCAGCGTTTGAGGTTGAACTTGGCGTCCAAACAGCGCGCCGCCCATCGAGACATTAGCGGTTCGTGGCCGCACACCGGTAATGATATGTTAAGTTCCTGGGACAACTCAATCATTCTAGAAAGGATGAGAGGATCCAGGAGATCGGCTGACCATGGCAAGCGCCAACAGCGCCCCTCGGTAGGCCAAGGGCGATTCATCCGCTCCTCGACGCCACTGCATGAATTTCCTGGTAGCCGCCATCGGCGGCTCGTAGAACTCCGCCATTTCCGCGAAGCGTCACGCAGCGTCTTTTTCTTACTCGCCGAGATGGAGCGGAAGACTGCCAAGGAGACGTCGTCCAATAGCGTGGGCAGAGCCTCCAGCGCTTCTGCCTCCGTCCATCGCACCGACCGAAAGGCTGACTCGAACCGCCACGTGAACGCGCATCAGTCGCCCCCGGTGACAAATTCTTTAATTTGAGGAAGGCGATGGCCGCGGTGAATATCCGAGGCCTTGGGCGTGTCAGATCCCGCTCCCCGCGCAGCACGCGGCTCCGTCAAGATGGCGTCCGGTGGCCGCGTGGCAGCAGCCCCGCCCAAAATGGAGGCCTCTCACTCCGCGGCAGGAGTAATGGCGGACGGCGTTTCCCGCTGAAGATCTTGGTCATCGGCCCTTGGGTGAGTTCCACATGGCCGACCGAGGGCCGCTGATGACGCGACCGCCATTGAAAGATTTAGCAGGATCGCACGGAGCGACTCTATCTGCTCCGCCACCCGACGTCACCCCTCGTCCACAGCCAGAGACGTCGCCTCGCCGGCCTGTCGTCGATGCGTGGTGTCGGGGAGAGCGGCAGACGGCGGTAGAGGACTCGTGGCTCCCAGCAGCTCGTCCTCATCCGCCTCGACATCTTCATCCGATGGAGGATCCGGTGGGTTTCTTTTCTTGAGGTGCTTGATCTCAAGAAGCACTTCTGTCACCAATGTAATAAAGGTCGTGGAAGCGACTTCTGGAATCCGGTCTTTATTTGTCTTTTGTTCACAACACTCCTATCTTACTCCTTCACGCTGCTGACAGACAGCGTGAGAGGGAAAGAGAGAGAGAGAGACACGCGCGGCCACGTGGCAGCCTGGACCCCGCTCCAGCGTGGCCTCACCCTCCGTTCCAGATCTGACCACGTGTTGTCCATCTCCACCCCTTTTAATACCCAGGTCACGTGGTACCTTTCCACCAATCCTGGTTAACCTCTATGGAATCTTCTAGACTCCATCGTACGTTCCCAGGACCGCGCCCCTGACTCGTCCCCCCATTGGCTGTGGCTAAAGCCAGCAGATCCAATCCTTTACTTACAGATGTCACCTTCCCATTACGTCAGGGCCACGCCCCTAGACTTCCCCCCATCGGCTATGGGCCAGGACCGGTAGAGCCAATCATCGTAACGAGGTGTGATCCATCAGCAACCCGGATATATCCTCACATTGCAATTGTATGAAGTTATGCAAGTGTATATAATTATGCGAATTAGGCTCTGCTGCGTTGTCTTGGGGTGTATTACCAATCGTGATAATACATTGATTGATTTAAAGCTTTTGTGACTGCAGGAATTCATATTCTTTGGATCTTTCGGTGAAGTCACGTAGATAGGTTTTTGTTATTTTCTTTGAACCTATCAACGTGACTTTACCGAAAGACCTAAAGAATATAATACAGTCTTTCTCGCTTGAACGTTTACCGATTATGTTTTAGTGTGTTTATGTCAGATCTCAAAATTCAGATCTCACCGCAGGATACAGTTCTTATAATTATGATTATTACGCATGAACTTAGGAAGGGACACTCAGACTCTTCTACGTTAAGTAACTTTAATATCTTAAAACAAAACACTCTAATATGCAAACTCTTATGCTAAGAATTGTCATTCCAGTACTCCTGGAAATGTCCTACTCATTGATCCGTACAATCAGAGGCGTAGCTAGGGGGGGTACATGTGTCCCTGGGCGCCAAGGTAAAGGGGCGCCAAAATGAGGCTTACAACATTACATTATACCTTATTGCGGCGGGCGCGGCAGCCTGAAACTACAGCACAAATCAACACCTCAACCTAAAAGTTTATATATCCCGCCACACACAGCCTACATGTCATGTAATTACATTTTGGTACGCGCGCCTATTAAGAACTTACATGGAAGAACGTCCCAAACAACAGACAGGCGCAGTCTTTCAGCCTTAGTCACTGGCCTGTTTTTTGGTGGCGGAAACTACGACGGCCTGAAACACGCTGGAGTGCACGATCACAAGCTGTTAAAGCTATCTATGAAGGACTGGATGAACTAGTAGGGCTGCTAGACAAATTATCGGAGGACGTAACTATGACGCCTGAAACCAGAAGTGATGCAGAACAGTTGCAGGCATGCGTATTCAATTTTTACTTCATAGTTTTATTACATTTCTGGAATGTCATTCTTGGAAAAAAAATTCGTGTTCAGAAGCGCTTACAGGATCCTACTATGAATTTTAAGCAAGCAGCAACTGATCTTGAATCTTTGGAGCATGAATTTGTCAAGCTTCGTGATGATTTGAGCCAAGTTGCTGTAGAAAACGCCAAAACAAGATGCACAGCCTGGGGGATCGATGTGGACAGAAGAATTAGGCGACGTCGGAAGATGCCAGGAGAACTGGCAAGAGATGCAGGACTTTCAGCAGAAGAAGAAATTGTGCGCGTTATGAAGAGCGTATTTTATCGACTTCAACAGGAGATGTCAACACGGTTTTTACGACTAAAAGACCTGCACACAAAATTTGGATTTCTGCTGGACGTCAAAACTCTTCTATCCGACACAGATGTCGATGCAATTCGTCGAAATTGCACAGATTTTGGAAATTTCTATGACACCGACATCAATGGCTACGAACTTTTCACAGAAATTGGAGATTGCAAAATGCTGCTCAGTAACCGGAATGAAGTTCTACCAGTAACTCCTTTGGATCTTCTTGGTTTTATTGTGTTTTATGGAGACGACATATTTCCGAATTTGCAAATTTCACTGCAAATTTTATTAACAATAGCAGTTTCAATTGCAAGCTGTGAGCGGTCGTTCAGCAAATTGAAACTTATTTTGTCGTATTGGCGTGCTTCAATGGGACAAGATCGTCTCAGCGATCTTGCTCTTCTTAGCGTTGAAAGAGAAACATTGGAAAAAACAGATGTTGATTACGTGATTGACCAGTTTGCGACAGTGAAATCAAGAAAAAATAATCTTTTGTAGACTGTCAACCAGTCTACGACAGTGACTGAGTGAGCCATGTAATATAATTTCTATAAATTTGCTTCTTTAAATACAATGTTTCATTAAAATTTAAATTGTTATTCCTTATTCGATGTAATAGGAAAATGTGATTAAATGGGGGGGGGGGGCGCCAATTTTATAGTTCGTCCCCGGGCGCAAAATATCCTAGCTACGCCTCTGCGTACAATTAGCCCTCAATGGTTACGTTTATTAACTGGATAACAGAACAATCGGCTAATTCCTCAGAGTAAAGCGACCATACACGCTGATAGAAAAAAGTCCTTAAGAATCTGTTTCAGTATTCATACGAACAGTAGTAAAGAAACATGTGCCCAAGGCCAAAGTAGTTTTCAATGAATTCATTGGTAAGATGATGCAATTGATCGAAATGCCCTGGAACAATAGTGTGCGGCAGTGTGCCTGTTTGCCTTATATATGCTTATCAATTGGCTAATGGGCTTGAATTGATCCGTGGGCAAGATTCCGTGATCAAAAGAAATAAATCTCAACACAATAGTATTCCTGTGAGTGTGTAGATTCATAACATCGATGCTAATAAATGTTTAGCGTCAATTAATGTATTGCTAAAGCTATGCAATTAACGAACCGATTGACTAAAATACTTCTATACGACCATATTCAAGCAGCTCAATGGACCGAACAATGTTTTCCATGATCAGCTAATAGTTAACGCACCACCTTAGAATGGCCCTTTTCGAAACAAAGATCACTTTTGGAGCAATATTATTAGTCCCGATTTGTGTGTTGTGTGTGTGGGTGTATTGTCTTCGTGCTCAACTCTTTGAGTGAAGCCCGCGCCGAGGTGGGGCTTTCCTTGTGTAATGCGGGCATAAACGACCTCCCGGAAGTGACGTCATGGGGGGAGGAGTTACGTCACGTGGGAGAGGGGGTTCAGGGCTATAAGGGGAGAAACCGGAAGAGGAGGGGGAGTGATCGGAGACTAGGAAAGGGTGAGGCCACGCAAGGCGGAGGTGAGAGAGAGAGTGGCGAGATCGCCACATACCCGGACCACGAGGTTCGGTTCCGTCGGCCAACGGTGACCGACCCCGGAGCAGCAGGAGCAGCGAGGAGGCTGCAGAGAGCAGCGGGTCTGCAAAAGGGGAGTTGAGCAGCGAAGGTCTGCACGAGGAGTTCAGCAGCGGGGCTGCTAGGAGGGAAAGTGGGCTATGTGAGCGACAGCAACCTGGGGCTGCCGAACGAAGAGTATCTAGGGGAGTGCCGTGAGGGAAAAGCATAAGAACCCAAATAAAGGACACGGAGACAGAGAGAGCGTCCGAGTTCTTTATTACACTGGTGTCAAAAGTGTAACGGCATGGCAAAACAACTGAGAAAAAAGAATATTCCGTCTCCAGCATCTGCTTCATCTTCCGACGACGATGGCCTTCCTCCAACGGTGGACCTGACTCCGATGGAGGACGAGATCCGTGCTGGGACGAGTGCGGGTCCGGGGGTCCAAGATGTCGCCGCGTCGGCGGACCCGTCTGCACCGAAGGACGCGGATTTAAGATGGAGTCAGATGGCGGAGCAACTTGAAACACTCAAGAACGTACTTGCACAGTTGTGTGAGCTCGTTACGCCGAGGACGGCGTCGGAAGGAGACGTTGGTGGTCCGCAGGAGCCCGCTTTGCCTTCACTGTCAACGCCATCGGCCACGCGGCACGAAGACGCCATCTTGGGCGTGGCAGGCGAAGAAAGGCGGGAAGCCGCCATCTTGTCTACACCACGTTGCGACGCCATGTTGAACATGCCACCAGATGAGTCATCGGCTGGAGAGAGCGCGCCAAGAAGTCGCAGTCGTCACCTAACAACTGTCAAAGAATTCTCCATCGGGGGCGATTGGAGTGCGTTCGCCTGCAGATTTTTGGCGGCGGTGCGCTTGGCAAGGTGGACTGACGCGGAGGCATTAGAAGTTCTGCCGACTCTTCTCGATGACGCGTCTGTTAGATTCTTTCGCTCTATAAAGGCCGCGAAGAAGAAAACGTTGAGAGGTGTGTTCGACGAAATGGCAGACGCTTACGAGCCACCGGATGATGCTCATCGCCGGTTTGTTCAACGACAACGAGCACCCGAGGAGTCTCCGGTGGCATATAGGGGCGCGGTACTGGAGCTGGCTATGGCCGCATACCCGGAGACGGAGCCTGACCTGCTGGAACCTCTCATCCTGGGGAAGATGCTGGAGCTGTGCATTCCTATGCCGGTATGCGGTCACGAAAAGCTCACATCCCGGGCTGCGGCTAAATGTCTGGATGCCCAGTTTAACCTGCGCTGGTGGAAACAAGTTACGGCGTGGACGGGGGGGCCCATCGTCGAAGGGGGAGCCTTGGGTTGGGACCCCAAGAAGGCAGTTTATGTGCCTGACGAGAGGAGCCCGCAGGAGCTGTCAGCCGCCGCTGCTCCGTGGCCGGGCCGCGGTGGGCCGGGACCGCAGGCTGCGCCGCCGATACGGCCGCGTCAGGACGGGGTGCCCGCCGCGCGGCGCAACGACATCGAATGTTTCCGCTGCGGGCGTAAGGGCCATTACGCCAGGGACTGCTGGGCCCGCGTCCCTGGTTCGCCCCAGCAGGAGGCCTCGGCAGCGGCCGCTCCAAGGAAGGATTCTCCAGCACAGGCAAGTCGGTGCGCACCAGACACCCGGCAAGGCTTGACACCTCACTCATCACCGTTGTCATGCGATCCGGGTGTTGTTAATAACGGGAGGCCATTGACTGCGCCTTGTCGCTCGGTAACGCAGTGGCGCAAGTTGGCCCGGCGGGTCGTCGCGGCCGCTACCGGTTCGTCCACCGTACCTGGGTCGATACAAGGGGTGGACGTACGTATTTTGGTGGATTCCGGAGCGTCCACGACCATTATTTCGGATGTAATATTCCATCTCTTGAACATCCCACCTGAGGCCGTGAGTCCGGCTTATGCTTCCTGCGTCGCTGCGAATGGGGGTAGCATGGGCATTGTGGGCCAGGTGGACGCTAACATAGCTATCGGGGGTGTGTCGGCCTTGGGAATTGTATTAATTTCGAGGTCTCTTGCGGTTCCTTGTTTGTTGGGGACCGATTTTCTGGCCAAAATTCCCATTCTAATTACAATTAATGAAAACTGCATTGAATTACCGGAAGGCCGTAAAATTGCATTTTTGCCGTCGCCTTGGGGGCGACCTGCTCCTGTCGCCCAAGTGCAGGCGTTGTCCGAAGAATCTGTTGATATTCCACCTGGCTCACAGATGCTCATTCCTTTGCGTTATCGGAAGCCTGTACCTGCTCGCCAGGGAGCTATTGGGGTTTTGTTGTCGCCGTCCGCCACCATCACGGGTGGATCGGCGCTAGTTGGGGCACAAACTATTGTCCGGCCAGACCAGCAGCCGTTTTTGCAGGTGCTTAACGCGAGTACCGAAAGCGTGTGTGTGCCGGCCGGTACTGTTGTGGCACATGCCACTACTGCGTTTACAGCTCATGATGATCTGTCCAGCCGGGGTGTTGTTGGGGGTGTTTCAGGGCCCGGAGCTGCAGATAATCGCTGGATCGCTGAATTGTGTGGGGAGAATTCAGCCCTTTCCGGGGAACAACGTTGTGCGATTCGGAAATTATTATTGAGTTATTCTGATGTGTTTAGCTCCGACGATTTGGATTTGGGACGCACCTCGTTGCTTTACCATCATATTGACACAGGGGACGCTGCCCCTATTCGGTTAAACTCGCATCGGATGAGTCCGGCTGAGCGAGAGCATGTTCGAGGGGCAGTGGATGACATGTTGGCTGCGGACATAATATCTCCGTCTAACAGCCCGTGGGGCGCGCCTGTTGTTTTGGTTAAGAAGAAAGATGGCAAATTGCGATTTTGTGTAGATTTTCGCAAGTTAAATAAAGTGTCGGTGGCAGATGCATACCCCCTGCCGCGTATGGACGACTCTCTCGATGCCTTGTCGGGGGCGAAGTTTTTTTCAACGCTAGATCTCTCTTCGGGCTTCTGGCAGCTCCCCCTTGACGAGTCCTCGCGGGAGAAGACTGCTTTCCGTACGCCGCAGGGGTTATTCCAATTTAACTGTCTTCCGATGGGGTTGAATGCGGCCCCTGCCACTTTTCAGAGGTTGATGGAGTTGGTATTAACGGGGTTGCAGTGGGAGACATGTCTGATATATCTAGACGATATTATCGTCTTCAGCCGCACATTTGACGAGCATTTATCGCGGTTGAAGGCTGTGTTCACCAGGATGCGTTCTGCTAATTTGAAATTTAAGCCTAAGAAATGTCACCTACTGCAACACTCCGTGCGTTACTTGGGGCACATCGTTAGTGCGGACGGGGTGGCCACGGATCCGGACAAAACTGCGTGCGTCCGTGACTGGCCAACCCCTGCCACGGTGGGGGATGTGCGTCGGTTTTTGGGGTTCGCCTCATATTATCGGAGGTTTGTTCAAAATTTTGCTACGATCGCGAGGCCTTTGCATCTCCTTACGGGAAAAGGACACAAATTTGCTTGGGGACCGCCAGAGGAGGCGGCGTTTCGAAGCCTGCGCGATCTATTGGCTACGGCGCCGACGTTGGATTATCCTGATTTTGAACATCCCTTCATTCTGGATACGGACGCGAGTGACACGGGCATTGGGGCGGTGTTGTCTCAGTCCAAAGGTGGTGTGGAACGCGTGGTGGCGTATGGTAGCCGGGTTTTGTCTCCCGCTGAAACCCGCTACTGCGTCACTCGCAGGGAACTTTTGGCTATTGTTTTTTTTCTCCGCCAATTTCGACCGTATCTGTACGGTCGTTCATTTATTGTTCGCATGGATCATGCGGCCTTGCAGTATGCTCTTAAGATGGACCAACCATCCGGCCAGCTGGCGCGGTGGTTGGACACGCTGCAAGAATTTTCCTTCCAAATTCACCATCGGAAGGGAGTGCGTCACGCTAATGCGGACGCACTTTCCAGGTTGCCGCAGCGATCCCCTTGCGCGTGTGCGTTGGGGACGCATAGGTGTGGCCCGATTCAGCGCCCCCCTCAGCCTGTCGCGCTGGCAGTCGAAGTGCCTGAAGCTCCGCTTGAGCCGGGGCCGGCTGATGGGGGACCGGCTGATGGGATTTTGCATCTCCTGAGGTCTGTGTGGATTCGGGAACAAATGTTGGATGATTCTTTGGTAACGTTACGTAAGCGGCCTGTGAAGGGGACTGGGGGACTCGGTACGGGGGGTGTGCCGGAAACCGCTCTCCGTGATGGGCTGCTGATGTGGAGGGAAGGGATACAGGAACGCTGGCGTCTTGTTGTACCGGTATCATTGCGGTACGAATTGATTAGAACTCTGCATTGTGACACGCTTTTACATCTGGGGGTGCAGAAGACCCTATTGACGCTGCAGCGAGATTACTATTGGCACGGCATGACGACGGATGTCGTCGGGCACGTCCGCGCGTGTCCCGATTGCGCCCGCCGGAAGCCACCTAAACATCCATACGTGCCGCCGATACAATCTATTCAGGTATCTCGAGTTAATGAATTGGTGGCGGTAGATATTTTGGGACCCTTTCCGCCATCCGCTAGGGGCAATAAATATTTGCTAGTAGGGGTGGAGTACCTCTCCCGCTGGCCGATGGCCTGGCCTTTGCCTGACCAGTCAGCGGCGTCTATCACAGACGCCTTTCTATTTGGGTATGTTATGGACAAGGGGGCGCCGGAGAGGCTCCTTACAGACCAAGGCCGGAATTTTTCGTCTAAATTGTTGGGGGAGGTGTGTGCGGCTCTTGGAACTAAAAAGATACGGACATCTCCCTACCACCCGCAAACGGATGGTATGGTTGAACGGCTAAATCGGACCCTGTCCGCCATGTTGTGTCACACGGTTAGTGAAAAACAATCAGATTGGGATTTGCATATCCCTGGGGTGCTTTCAGCGTACCGGATGACGCCGCATGCGGCTACAGGATATTCGCCGTTTTTTCTTATGTACGGTCGTGAACACGTGCCGCCGATGAATGTGCAGTTGGGAACCGGAGCGAGGGGACCTCCTAAGCCTCTTCCTGATTATATTCAGGACACCGTTCGCCGTGTCACTGTGGCGCGGGAAGGGGCCCGCATGGCTACGGCCAAAGCCCAGGCCCGGAACGAGCGGTGTGCTCGACGTTCAAAGGGGGAATGCCCCTGGAAAACGGGGGACCTGGCCTGGCTCCATTGCCCACAGGTGCGGCCAGGTACCTCTCCTAAGTTACATAAACCATGGCAAGGGCCGGTTCGCCTCATCGAGGTTCCCAACCCACAGTCGGCGCGTGTTCGGTTTGGATCTCGGCGTTGGTTCGTCCACACATCTCGGTTGAAACCATACGTGGCCCCTCGATCTGATGCGTCATCTCCTGAGGTTGCCTTGCCGGGGTCTGTTGCTGCCGACTCACCCTTGCCTGTGCCCGCTGACCTTGCAAGAGCGCCTGTCGTGCCTTTTACAGACAAGCCGGCCGTGACGCCGCAGGAGAAGGGAGACTCGGCTCGGGGTGCGCCTACCATGGCTGCGGAAAGTCTGAGACCCGCAGCCCTTCCAACCCCGCCGCGAACGCGATTGCGGGACACCTCTGACGCTGGGCCTTCGAGAATAGGGGACCGTGACGTTGGCAGGCCTCCAATAGCGACAGACGAACTTCAGCCTGTCGCTCTTAAAACCCTGTCATGTTCCCGCTCGGCGGGAGGGCCGCCGACCATCCGGGACGGCCCGGCGACCCGCACCCGCTCAAAATCCCTCACATTTCGTTAACTGTTGTGTTGTGTTCTTGTTCTTTCGGTATAGTATTGTATGCTTCGTGTCCTTTTTCGTATTCGGTCGTGTTCGCCCGCATTGCTTGTTGAAGTTGTGTTCAGCCGAGGTCGGCTGGATTTTCTCTACGGGGGAGGGTGGTGTAATGCGGGCGTAAACGACCTCCCGGAAGTGACGTCATGGGGGGAGGAGTTACGTCACGTAGGGGAGGAGGTTCAGGGCTATAAGGGGAGAAACCGGAAGAGGAGGGGGAGTGATCGGAGACTAGGAAAGGGTGAGGCCATGCAAGGCGGAGGTGAGAGAGAGAGTGGCGAGATCGCCACATACCCGGACCACGAGGTTCGGCTCCGTCGGCCAACGGTGACCGACCCCGGAGCAGCAGGAGCAGCGAGGAGACTGCAGAGAGCAGCGGGTCTGCAAAAGGGGAGTTGAGCAGCGGGGGTCTGCACGAGGAGTTCAGCAGCGGGGCTGCTAGGAGGGAAAGTGGGCAATGTGAGCGACAGCAGTCTGGGGCTGCCGAACGAAGAGTATCTAGGGGAGTGCCGTGAGGGAAAAGCATAAGAACCCAAATAAAGGACACGGAGACAGAGAGAGCGTCCGAGTTCTTTATTACACTTGTACCGAAAATACCTCGGTTTGCTTGCCTCCTGGGCGATGAGTCGTGTGTGTGTGTGTGGGCGTGTCATACACACGGCGCTCTCTCTTGATAGCAGCTCCAAGCTTCTCCACTGCTGGATGATTGTTGCGGTGCCCGATATCGCTCGCAGCTCGTCCGCTGGTCGCCAGCGCTGACACTTAGGGGTTAATTTTCGAAGGCCGTAAACAAAAAGTTAATGCATTTGGGTGTGCATAAAACATTGGCGACGTTGAAAAAGGACTTTTACAGGCCC